TATGAGCTGTGTTGTGTATCCAAAGTTTGAGGCAAGACCGCAAAGAAATATAAGAGGTAGATGGTTCTTACGTGCCGCTAGACCCATCACCCTTGAAGGACATGAGCCCCTTGATACCACCGCAGCAACTGTGCCCAATTACCACTATGTTCTCCACCTACATAATTATTCTCTTTGTTAGAAAAACTGAAGTCAAATAAAACCATATGCATACACCGAGAAAAGCTAAGAGCCTAAGTTCCTCAATGGGTTTTTTATTTTGTTTTTTTAAAAAGCTTCTATGCTAAAATAATTATAGAATGAGGGCTCTTTCTCTTGATATGAATGCTCAATAGGTAAGCATTTTACTTAATTCTTTTTATTTTTTATTCATGAATTAAAGTTTCTTGGAGATCGCCCAACTTAAATGTGTAAGAGGGACACACATGTGCGGGTCATATGACACAATCTACGGATTAGACACCAACAACTGCTCAGGTTCTCATAGGGGTAGCTATCTAGCTGGTAAAATAGAAAAATGAAAACCGAAATGAGAGAGAGAGAGAGAGAGAGAGAGAGAGAGAGAGAGAGAGAGGAGGTGACTCTGACCTTGAGATGAAGGACCGCATATTCTATGGCTGAACCTGCGCCAGAATACTTAGTCTGCACCCAGAAGAAGCCACAAGTACGGTCAGTGTGGGTCCCGCCATTAGTTACGGGTGAGGTTGGTGGGTATATAATAATAATAATAAATTAACATGTTTAAAAATGCGAGTCAATATATATAAAAATTGTAATAACCTTATCGAAGGGAGGGACCATGGCGGCAATGTTGCGCATCATGAAGGCCTCCCCGGGGCTGAAATTGAGGATCACCGACGGGCACACGCGCGAGTCCGCACACGCGAACACCATGAACTGTTTTCCATTTCCAAAACAAATAAATAAAATTACAGTAGTTAATCTAACAATAAATGGATGGATAAATAATCAATAATCATGTGGTCAAACTTCGCAATGATCATAGGAAGCTTCTAGGGGTTTGACCCTTTCTAGGGATGATGGCTTTATCTGGGACAGTGAAGTGAAGAAAAGCATAACATGGCTTCAAATGGGATTTTGTTTAAAAAAATCCTATCAAGTTTGTACATTATCCACCATTATTTTATTTTATTTTTTAAAACGATGTTTTCTTTTCTGTATATAACTCGCAAGTGTACATTACTATATACAAGCATCTAATTATTTTGTCGTGTAATTTTTTTTAAGTAAGCAAGACGTTCAAGAAATTAATTGATTTCTCTTATTAATGGAACAAGAGAATGCTTATCTTCGCTACAAAAAAAGCAAATTAATCGATTAGGGGGAAAAAAATAGATACATTATCAGCGTGAATTAATTGTGAAAAGGAGAATAAATAGAATGATAGCAAAAGTAGCTTTAAGAAAATAAAGATTGAAAAAAAATAGGAAATACTAATATTGCTTTCTGAATCAATGGATCACTTTACTTTAAAACTCGATCATCTACTATATTGTGATCAATTATTAATTTTCGATGTAAATCTCATAAGACAACTACGAAATGGATTTTCACCACAATGATTAATTTTATACGGTAGTCTCCTTTAAAAAAAAGTATTTAAATGATAAAAGTACGATAATAAGTGGTCCACCCAAAAGTACAAGATTAACAAACTGATCTACAGTCGCAAAGACAGTTGGGGAATTGCTCCTATTGTATAGATTTTGATTAACAGTGATAAGTCACCAGAATATCCACTTGTTTCCCCTTTAAAAAATCATCAAAATTATAGAGATAAAACTACTTGTAGTAAATAAAATAAATAAACAACCTGCTGACGTGGAAACAGTAGAATGAAAAGTTCTGCATCCGTTGTACTTTACAAATAGTCCTCCCGCTACTAATAAAATATTAGCTAATTGATGTAATTACGAGGATATTATTCCTAATATACCCTCACTTTTTACTTCTAAAACCTTAATTGATTACTTTATCCGGCACGGGATTCAGCGCTGATTGCGAACTCAATTGAATCTTTTGACTCCAAAGATTAACGAAAATGCCCTTACCTTTGGGCTCTGTCCTTTGGCGAGCTCGCCGAAAAGCTCAGGATTCTTGCTGCGATACACAAAATTTGGAGGGCAAATT